CGTCAGCGGTGACCCTGGCCCGAGGGGGCCGGGGGCCCGGGCCGCGCGGGGAGCACCCGCGCTGAGGTGGTCGTAGGTGCTTTTGTAGTCCCGGGAAACCGCCGTCACTGCAGCCCGTTGCCAGTTCCTAGATCTCCCTACCGAGACCGCACACGTAAACGCCGGTCTCCCTCTGCATGCCAGTCCCCCTCTTCAACAGGGTGGTAAGAAATCTTTCTCCCACTCCTGTGAAGCAGTAGCCTGTCTGTCTTCTGGTCTCTCTGAGTACTTTCTCAGAAATTGCTGAGTTTTCTCATTCTTTGTTCTGCAAGCCTTTCCTTCCATTACGTAGCATCCTTCTTCAGATCATCCCATGTCACATCCTACACATCTGGCGTGTTTCTGAATGCAACAGTTATGTGCCACGGCCTTGTGACTGTGGCTGAAAGCTGAACTTCTTGTTGCTTTCTTCATTTTTCTGGTTATTTCTCTCTTCCCACATGCATCAATGTCATATTTAAGTGTCATGGCTTTTTCTTCCTCATAATCTCGGCATCTTTGCAACAGAGTATCTGCTTTAGGTTTTTATAATATCCTATTTTGACTATTGTAGTGCTATCTTTTTTGTCATTTTGCATTGGATTCTTTAATTCCAAATGATGATTGATTTTCTGTGCTCTCTAGTTACAGTAATACGGGTATAGTCTTTGAATTCCGTCACTTGCCCATAATTTTAATTTACGTTCTTAATTTCCTGGGTCCTGTAGCCTCTTGCACATTAAACTGTCCTTCTAATGACTGATTACCTCTCTGCCATTTTCATGGCCACTTTTCTGGTGTTAGACTAGTTCAGATTGCTACAACTTACTCTTCCTAACCTTTATCTGCCTTTCCGCTAACTGTGCTAAGCCTGAACATCTGTGTGTGCTGAAACAGAGGGGAGGGGAGGGAAGGAAGAGGTTAGGTAATATCTAGCTTGTTATAGATGCCACGAAAGAATTGCTAACCGGTGATTAGGTCTTCTTTATTCTTTAATGTTATATGCAAGTGTAATTAAGACACTGTTTATTTAATTTCATCCTCAAAGCTTTCAGTCTTAAAATGCTGATAACATTTTTAACATTTCTGTCATTCTTCATCTTTGAGTACCACAAATTTGGGTAAACTAACAGGTAATTAGTTTTGGTTTGTAGCTGTAGTAAGTTTCGTAGCTTAAAATTGACATGCTTTGACCTGACTGTTCTCTTTCAGTGTGTGTTTGAAATCCATCGTTTTGGTGGGGGCTTTTTTGCCACCTAGTCACTTTTGAAGGATCAGTTATGTGGTACTGAAGTGGATTTTTAAGAATCTCCAGAAATCTTGGCTTGTGGACGCAAATTCAAAATTTCTGTTAAATTGTTAGTACATTTGAAGTCTAAATTTTTCTATAGAAACTTTAATGTTACTATTCTTACAATGCCTGAGTTCCTTTCAGCGTCTCATTAAACGATAACTAGCTTGTCACATGATCGTTCTCATTTTCTCCCTAGGAGAAAAGCTCTCATCTTCAGTGACCTGTTTTGTTGAGAGTTTACACGTTGATTTTATGCATCAAAGAGACATTTCAAATAATGCAATTTTCATTCCCGATTCTGCACTTTATTCAATCCATTGAAATTTTTCAGGTCTTTGCTGTCATTCCTTTCACTGGATGGCTCTCTCTTAAGTGCCGGGTTAAAGCCTCAGTTGTTTGTTATGTGCGGGGTTTTTATTTTGAATATAGAGCACTCTATTTTAAAAAATTAAAATAACAAACCTTACACGCTTACATGAAAATCTTTAGTGCGGTAAGAATGTTTTAAAGTGTGTAAAGAATTAACTCTTCTTACACTATTAGAACTCTTCAGTTTAAAATTTAAAAAAAAATCAAATTATTTTAAGCCCTCCACTGTCATCTGGACTTTTCTTGTAGGAGCAAAATACATGTATAGAAGAAAATATAAACAAATTATATAAACATATACTATCAGACTTCTTTATATATTTAAAAATATTTTTAATAAATTTGTACAATAATGCTTTCCCTGTGTTTCTCTGCCTAAGTACTTTGGTTCATTAACACCTATGGCTGGTATACCATAGATGTTAAGATCTTATTTTCAGATCATATGATTTGAATTTTTTTTTATGCCAGAGAATCAATTACTTGCATTTAAGAAAAGAAAAATATGGGATTGCCATTTATTAGAATCAAAGAGTAGGTCAACAAATAGCTAATTTTTCTTCTATCTGCCTTGGGTATTTTTTGCCACAGGGACTGGCTCTGACATTATATGAAGATATATGTAGCCAGTGTGTATCTGACTGATTGGAGAGTATCAGTTGCTACCAAAAAAATCCGTTGACACTTTTTCTTTGGGATTCTGTAAGAGTGGGATTTAAGTATTCTGAATTTACAATCTCCATCTTATATTTAGCTATTTTGATAGGAAACTAAAACTGAAGGGGGTAGAGGGCACGGTGCAGAGTGTGATTTCTGCCGACAAAGCGTGTTACTTGCTCAGTCACGTTGCTTAGTGAACACCGAAGGCTAGGGATCACCTTGCTTAAAGCACTAATTGGCAAGTTATCAAATAACAGCCACATGAATTAAACAGTCTCATGGTCTCTTCCCTATTTTGGAGTCTCTGTTAGAGATTGCCTCCTTTACCTGTAATGATTTTCAAATTCTGTTTCTGCTTTTAAAATAGTTCTATATGTAAATTGCTGTATAGAGTGCATTAAATGGTGTCATTGATTTTAAATTACTCTGCTTTTTCCTGTTTTTCAAATTTAGATGACCTAATTAGTTAGTTTATGATCCAGCATGATGGATAATGATCAGAAAACCTAAGCAGCAGGTAATAAAAATAAGAAGAGCAACTGACAATTCTCACGGAAGTGCTGCTACTGTATTGGAGAAAGAGGGATTTGCAAGGGGAAGGTTTCTACTAATTAAAATATAAGCATTTGGATTACAAGGAAAGGAAAGACCTTTTTTTTTTTTTTTTAACAGGAGTAAGTGTCAAAGTTGGGGAGGAGAAAAGAGATGAAGACAACATGAATTGATTGGTAGTTGGGAGACAGCATTAGAATGTCCCTGCCTAAGTAACTTTTCCCTCCACGAAATTTCTTGGCAGGCTTTCTCCACTGTGAGGCTGTATTTATACTTGTAAATTAAACATATCTGGAAATCTTCTTGGACACAAAGAGCAACTGGCATGAAATGGCCCACATCTACGCTAGTAAATTCTCTTATCTTCCAAAACAAGGCAGTAGGACAGAAACTGTTTTAGGAATTACCTTAGAAGGAGTCCTCGCATCAGGCTGGGAAGGTGCCTAGGGGAGTGGTGGTTGTCACAGGCCAAATCCATGCCAGGGACTGTTGTCACAGCAACTAATACAGACAACTACACTTCATTGAATTTACAGCTATCAACATAACTTAAGACTCCCACAGTTGTTCTGACTCCCATAAAGCATTGAATATGATAAAAGAGGTTTCCTGCTCTGCGTCCCTCAAAATGACTGGGTTTGGATCTTTCTTAAAAAGACTATGTCAAAAGCAACAGCAGCATAAAGCTAACCAGAACTGGGTTTTGCTCAGATGAAATTACTGGAAGAATTATCAAGGATAGAATCTGTAGGTGCTAAAAATAAAGGGAAACAGGAGGACAAAGTGGGTGAAGGGAACCAGGCAGTGGGATTGGTAAGGAACAGTTAATCATAAAGCTGAAGGAGAATAAAGGAGGAAAGAAAAGAAATATCGATTCTGAAGGAAATTAGGAAAAGTCTCAGAAATTAATATAAATAAAGCTTTCTTCGTAACCCTTACGTTATCTGCTTCATCTCTTAAAATTCTGCAGAACTAGAATTGGCTGATTTTCACATCCTTTTGTTTGGTGCATTTCATTATTAAAGCCAAGCGTTATTTTTGGCCTAGTGCAATACTAATATCTGAATTTGATATGGGAATAAAGCTTTAAAATCAGCAACTGCTTTGCTTACCAAAAAAAAAAAGCAAAACAAAAAACAAGCAAAAATCATCCAACAGAAAACCCAAAAAAACACCCCACCAAAACAACCAAAAAACCCGTGTTGGAACAACGACAAGACACACTTGTTATTCAAGATAATTTTGTGTTTTTGGTACAGTGTAAATAAAGGATTTTTTTGGTGAAAGAAGCAAAGAATAAGTTCAGGTATGAGGTGCTAATGTGCTGCAGCAGAAAAAAAGGTATGAAGTGCTGTGTGCAGAGGCATCATGTCTCTGAGCAAGGAGGTAGTAGTTTATTGTCTAAGATATATATATATAAATATCTTATGTCTTAACAAAAAAACCTTTTATTTAAAAATTTTCCATTAGTCAGGATTGAACAAATCAAGTGTGGCTTGATATGCAGTCTTCATAACAATTTCTATTTTAAACATACTGAAACAGTATATTTTTGTTTTTAGAATATAAACCAGTTGGTAAGGTAGGAGAGGGAACATTTTCTGACGTTCTGAAGACAGAGTCGTAGGCATGGAAAGTACTATGCATGTAAACACAGGAAGCAACATTTTGAAAGGTATGCATAATTAATCATAGTACTACAGAAGATCTTCTTTAAATTCGGTGGGGAAATGTGAAATTAAGACTAAGTGAAGTTTTTTGAATGCACATGTATTTAAAAGGTTTGCATGTAGTACAGAAAGGGAACTCTGCTGCTGATTATGCAGGGCCTGCCCATTCGGCATTGGGGTTATTTCCCTGAGTACTCTAATTGATGTCATCCACTGTACTAAATGCTGCCTGGCCACTGGGTCGAGGGTGAAACGAGAAGAATGAGGACTAAATAGTTGACTTCTGCCTCTCCAAGTGCCCTGAATATACTTGTGCTGTTTTTCTTTTTGCTGTAAATAATGATAGGAGGAGTAAATGTGTCAGTCCTCCCCCTGGACAATACTTTTTTCAGTCTTACTTTAAATACTGTTTTAATGCGAGGTAAAAATACTGTATTTATCCTTAGTCCATATATAGCATTAGTTCTACTTCATATTTCCGTTTATATTTAGTTACATCCATCAGCAAGACGCTATATGGTCACAAAATAGGTGCTTTGTATTAGTTAGGAAAATAGAGGAGAGGGTGGAAATAGACATAGACTTGACATTCTCCTCCAAACATATAGGTGTCAAACAATGCCTTTTGGGTCACGGACTTTGTATTCTCAGTTAAATATATTAAGTTCCTAGTGAAATCAGTGGGAGTGACACATTTGTACGTACAAAGTAAAATGGGACATTTTGCTCTTAGGTGAGATTTCACAATGTAACTCAGAACTTCAAAGACTGTAAGTTTAAAAAAAAAGAGAACTCAAATATCTTCGAGTAATGTGGCTTCTGATTCTCTGTTGTGTTGTTAGAGAACCGTTGGTCCATTTATACGTTACCTACAACTGACCAAATTGTCCAATTTATGATCAAAAGAGTATTTAAACTAACCGCTTAACTGTATCAAGGGCAGATGGTATACGCCTCAGTGGTAGGGCATAGCAATAGGGCATAACAAGCAGACTCTTTTTTTCATGTAGCATGTTTCAAACATCTTTTAGGCCTTTAACCCTTTGATAAATTGATTGACATTCTTTTAAGGAAATGAACTCTTTTAGCAACAGATAACAGTGTTTTAAAGTGCTCGTACAAGGTATTTCTTCTAGTTTCAAATTGGAAAATACCGTTTTGGTGTTTAGCTTTAAGTCAGACTGTGAAAAGGTGTATGTGTCCTCTTCTGATCCGTTAAATAGCGTGCAAAGCAATTTGTTTCCTGCTTCCTCCCCAGAGTTTCTGTAGCATGTAGTTTTGTTGTTTATTGAAGTCTAGGAGGGCAACATAATAATTAAACAATAGTTGAATAGTGTCTATTTTGCATGTAAGAGGTTACCATCAAAACTTAAAGTGTTAAATTTGGCAAGGCTAGATTGTCACTTTCAGCATCGTGCTAGCACTAGTTGGAATGTGTGCTACACCAGAGCAGAATAAACAGTATCATACGTACTATTATGCAACACAAAATTCCTCCCAGATAGCTCCTTGGCGTGGTAACTGATGTCTGGAGCACAGTACATTACTACTTATCTTGTTGGGGTAAGTCCAGCTACTCCACACTGCAAGAAGGAATAAAGCCATTCTCCTGATTACTGGTTTGCTCTATAAAGAAACAAAACAGGCAAACAATTTATCAGGCCCTGCATTTGCAAGTTCAATTACAGACTAAAGTGGAGTAGATTCTGACAGTCCCAAGGCAGGGAAGAAAGACAATTACAATCCAGTCCCTGGTTGCAAGTCAGTCTTCCTCTTTTCTTTTTAATTCAACACTAGTATGGAACAAGTGAATAATCTGAGAGAAATACAAGCGCTAAGGAGGCTGAGTCCGCATCCTAATAGCCTTATGTTACATGAAGTTGTTTTGTAAGTATGGTGCATTCATTTCTTGCTTCCTTATGCCTTTATTTGAATGATATTCAGTAACTTTTGGGTCTAGAAGCAACCCGTAGGCACTTAACCAGCTTTTTATTCCAACAGAAAGAAAAAAACAATGAATTTGTCAAATTCTGAAGCCTTCATGCCTTTTCTGTTAAGAAAATCCGATGTAGCTCTCACTTTCTCTGGCTCTCTTGCAGCAGACCAAAAATATTTCAACATCAGTATTAAAATTACAGACTAGATATATTTTAAGCATAGCTAAACTTCATCTCATAATATGTAATACTTGCTGGTGATTTCAACCCATGTCCCATATCTAGTGAATGCTTTAACTGCACAACATCATGTCTACTGTAGACAGTATTTTGGTAAGGCACACTCAGAGCTTATCTGCTGGAATAGGCTCTGGTACTTCAAGGATCTTGGTTTGACTTGCCAGTTTGAACTAGGGATCCAAGCAAAGTATTTGGCAGTATCCTTTCATAGGCAACTTTACAGACACCCCTTTGCAAATAATAGAGGTTTAGACCTCTGAATTAGGCAGCAGTGGAGCTATGAATTTGGAAAGAGATCAATTAGTGATGAAGTTGGGTTCCTTAGCCTCATTAGGCACTTAAGTGTCTTCTGGGGACACGTTCTGTCTCACAAAGAGATCAGCGTTTATGACAGCATTTACTCCATTACTGTGTGTTACACTTCATCACTATGCTACAGCAGACATATACTTCATTATTTAAATACTTGACACAAAACTTGTTGACTGCTCTAAAATATTTGTTTCTTGCTCTTCAGGCTGTCTTATTCCTCTGCTGAAGGCTCTGGTACTATACTGTTATTGACAGGCCCGTTTTCTACAAATATATGGAAAGCCGGTAATCGTGTCAGCAGCTTAGCTTTCTGGAATTCTCAGCTTCAGCTGCCGTGTTGTTAACGAAGTGTAATCCAGATGGCCAGCCAGCTCGCCTAGCTCTTTCACAGTCTGTCTCCAAACTGAATTGCAGATTGTACCCTCAACCTTTTGCTGTCTGGGTTAATGGAACATTGCAGAGGGGATGTACTTTAATGCAATTATCTTATAAGAAAAACTGAAGACCTAAAGACATCTGCCTCTGCAGGGCAGTGAAATGGAAAAGAAAGTGTCAGATGTGTTATCATGTCGTGATAATACTTAAAACTGCTGTTGTCAGCAAAACACAGATCCCAGTCAGGTACTCATTTCCATGCAATAGAACACTACTGGCGACCTACCTAGAAAGTATTTTCTTCTATGGTGTAATGGCTTTCCTATCTTTTATTGTAAGATTGTATCAGTTAATTTACTGGAAATTTCTTGATACTGAATAGTGTGATATGCCCAGAAAACATGCCTTCAAATAACTTCACAGAGTAAATCAGTTAACTTCTGCAATGGACACTTTGGATAGTATAAAACTAAAACTATGATACCTCAGACCCCCAGCTGAAAAACTTCTATGAGAAAGTATCAATTAAAAATGAAAATGTCCATTTTAATACTGGTTAAACTCAGTACTTTTTTCGACGCTGTGTACAAATCAACATTTCTAGCTTAAAGTCTCCTATTTGTTTCTTCAGTGATAAAAAAGCTGGCTCTCTTTCACTGATATGTGAACTTATGGACATGAATATTTATGAGCTGATAAAAGGTATGTAGCATATGCTTAAGAAACACACAAACCCTTCTTGTATAGATCACAAAGAGGACTTAATTATTTTTCACTTGGTTGTTCACCATTACATAGTATAAAATTCATAGGGAAATTTTGTGCCATACTGCTTTACTCTTTATTTCTTTCCAGTGCAATATACCCACTTGTTTAAGGCATGGATGCATGCAGAAGGTTTCTAATGAGTCAGGTTCTATTTCTACAGTCAAACTTTACATGAAAACAGGGAAACAACCTTGACTGCGAAACACAAAATAATTGCTTTATGTAACAAAAAGTACAACTTAAATAGGTTCTGTGTTAGGTCAGGACTGTAATCATGTAACAAGAAAATTATTCCCATTTGTTTCAAAAACTACTGATTCAAAGAATAATGATTTTCAGTTTTTATACCTAGTAAAAATGCCTTTCACCAAGTTTTCTCTATAAAATAACATTGTTCCCTGAAACCTCCTATATTTAAAAATCCTGGAACTGTTTGTCGAAGCAGATGGGAGACCGTAAAGCTTAAGGAAGAGTTCCTACAAAAAAGTTTACAACAAAAGCTGATTTAAAACCAGATCTCATATAGACACCAAAGGAGTTGGATACAGCAAATGAAGGGGCACTTACTTATAATTCAATATTAAAAGAGGATTTTTTTCTGAATAATTAAAAATTTGTAATGTCTTAACAGTTGGGAGAGTCATTTAAATAACTGAGCATGCAACTGTCATTCAGTGTACTAGAATAGATAAACGACTTGCTCCCAAACATTACGTTAGTGACACTGAGTATTCAGATCTCTAACAGAAGGAGTAACCCTGTTCCTGACCTAGATAAGAATTTGAGGTTAAAACACAGTTGTTTGCTGATCACTGAAGCAGACATGAATATTTCCTGGTTTTAATAGGACATTTTATTTTTCCGGGATAAATTTCTTAAGTTGTAAAGTCAGAGTAATAGCATATAGGAAGGAGTCCTCGTTGGATAGTAAGTTAGTCCAGTGCATTAAAAACAATCTTGCATCTTCTCCTTCCAGGAAAGATACTGTACTTCAGTTATGAAAGATCAGAATATTTAGGTTTGTTCTTTAACTGCCTTTTTTTTACCTCAGAGTATTCGCTTTCATTTGGTTACATTTCTCAGTCTTTCTCTCATTCTTTTCATGTGAAAAAGCCTGCTATATTAAGTATTCTATACAGATGGAAATTAGTCTAATAGTTTCAGTATGTTCTGCTATGGTTTTTTTATTTTAAAATACATAATGTATAGTGGTATCACAAGTTATTTAATAACTGAAAAACAGTCTTGCCTTTTCTTTAACCCAGAACAGTTTGGTCATTTAAAGCGATGAAAAAAATATGGCTCAGAGAGAGGTGGGGAAGATGCCTCAAGCGAAAACAATTGTAGCCTCAAGTGCTGCTGCCTTACGATTCGCTTCATTACTTCCAGCTAAGGTTTCTCTAATGATAAATCTGGAAGTAGAAAAGCATCTGCTCCAGATTTTACTAGTGACCTGTAATGGAAAAACAATTGAGCATGACTTCTTTTTATGAAGGCCTGTTTTTTTAAATACTAATAATAATCTGAGTTGGTTTGAATAGCTGCATTTTATAAAATCTTTCCTACTATCATGACAAAAATCCCAATGTTGAAAACACCATTTGTCTCTACTGGGGTAACAATACTACAGTTCCCGAGGTAAACGGTACTCCGTTTCAAGGGCTTTGTTCTCTAATCCTGCTCAGCGGATTATGTGGCTGACTGGAGGAGTACTGTAATCAGTTAGGAACACAAGTCCCGCTGGCTGCCAGGACTTGCAGCCCTCAATGAGTTAGTGTCCTGATAATCTCCCTCCTCCTCCCCAGCCAATTACTCATACTACTGTCATCAGGCAGATCAGTACCTGCTTTGTTTTTCAAAAATGTGATCATTTCTGCCTCCGTTGATGACATTGCAGCCTTACATAAAGGCATTACAGCAAGATTAAAAGGCCTTTGGAGCCTATAAAAGAAAAAAGCTGAGTAGTTACTGAATGGCTCTGAAAAAATAATAGATACATTTTATAACTGTCATTATTGCGCAATGGCAATAGCAAGCGAAACTACATAGGTTAACCTTTAATTTGCAAGTCAAATGTGAATCACGGTCATTTAAGCATTGCAGTGATTTGAGGTGATTGATACGAATCTTGATCCTTACGGACAGTTACTTTGTTTAGAGAGGGAATTAGATGTTTAGAAGTGAAATATTGCAGTTCTGTTAGAACTTGGGGAAACAGGTATTGCAAGAAAAACATGCAGTAAAAGCTAAGGCAGATTACAGGCTATTGTTGTACAGACAGTTGTTAGCTGAGCTATTCTGGTGCATACTGAAATCTAAATTATGTCTGAAGTTGAGTGGAAAATGGATTACAAAGCTAGCTGTAAATGACAGAAATAGTATAATTGAAAAAGGTAATATCAATGCACTATTGGAAGCCGAAGGTAATTTTTTTGTATTCCGTTGTTTGCTAAAAAGGACTTGTGCAACTTGAAATTTAATTCTAGGAAGGAGAAAGCCATTACCTGAAAAAAAAAAAAGAACCACATGTACCAGTTATGCAAATCTCTTGATTGCATACATAGGTAAGAGACCTGGCTCAGCAACAGCTTTACAGTAAATGTATCATACATTTATTTCAGGGTCATCTCTAAGTAGAGACATACAATTGTCTGGGGCAGCAGACTGCTGCAGGGAGGAAAAAGGCTATTGCCCAGATGCATCTTTGCCTATAGCAGAGCCCTGGAAGGCAGCAAGCAGGCAGCCCATGCTGCTGCCAGCACCCCGAAGGAGCTCTACTACCTGCTGCAGGAAGCCCTCCTGGGAGGGGGTGGCCCTTGCAATCCTTTGGTAAACCTGGTGAGAGCAAAAGCAGAAAGCCTGGCCTCCCCTTCCTGGACTTGCCCTTTCCCCACTCCCATACCTGTAGCTGTTGTCTCATCGTGGTGGCAAAATTCAATTTTTTTACTATGCTGTTGATAAGTTTGAAGAAAGCATTAGTTTCTTGAAGTATTTTTTTACAAATAACTGGAAGCACTGGTAATGTTTCTCTTTTTACTGATCTCTTCTCTCTGGTGGGTTTATATTGGTACAGAGATGGGATATTTCAGAGAGATGTGAAACCAGAAAACATTAATAAAGGTAATTAATTTTATGTGAGAATATTTAACTGAAAGTGAAGTATATCAGTATTTTTCTCTTTAGTCTGAGAAGGTAATGCTTCTTCATGAATAAAAGTAGAGTTTTAAAAAAAATCTATAGATAGTTACTTCTAATACCGTATTCCTGATCTAGAGGAATGAACAGGCAAGTTTGTTCTTGCCAAAACCTGAAATGAATTGGATGCATTACAGCCTGCATGTGTTCCAATCTAAAAACCTGTTCTTTATCCTCTACTAATTTCTGTTGTCCGAGAAACAAGCGATAGGGTTCAGTTCTGCAGCCCTTTCTTTCTACCTTCAATTCCTACATTTAGTGGGAGTTATTAATACAAAAGGGAGCAGAAGGTGTTAGCTTTCAGAAGATTTCTTCATTGAAATCTATTCTCCTGACAGTTTCAGAATGTTATTTTGCTAATGTCTGAAAAGCGAGGATTTCAAAATTCAGTTTATGAAATTTTATTTTCTGGAGATAAATTTTTCTTTTAAGTCTTAGAAGAACAGAGGAGAAGCCGTTCCACGGAGAAGCCAAAGCCACCTGTTATATCACTGCTCAACACAAGAACTCTAAGAAAATAACTTAATCCAGATGTCCTATTTAGCAGTCTTCCCTTCAGTAATAGTCCATATGCTTTTCAATTAACTCTTAGCTCTTTCTTTTAATGATGTACAGAACGGTATTTGCACATATTATGGGACACAGGTATCTTCGAGCCTGGAGCTACTTGCTATTTAAATGCAGTTTTACTGCTATTACAATACTACCCCTGGGATTTCTGAAAGTTTATTCTTAAAGTAATCTGTGATTTCTTTTATGATGACTACTTCACACGTTTAAGGAAAATCTTGGCTTGAATATTTCAGTGTTTCTAATTTGTCAAAATACTTTATTTGTTTTTGCAGCAGAATACCCTGAGGTTAGGAGATTCTGGATCTCGTAGGAGTGTCTGTTCTAAGCAGCCACATACAGAACATATCTCTATACGCTGGTACTGAGCACCTGAATGCTTACTTACAAATGGCCACTATAGTTACAAAATTGATATATGGAGTGCTGGCTGTGTTTTCTATGAAATCACAAGGTACAGTGTTCAGTGGAGAGTCTTGCTTATTATTAATCCAGAAAATCAAAGGCAAATAACTCAAGTAAGGAGCACATGGTACGGGTAATATGATCTTTGTTTCCGTGGTTTTGTGGAAGCTTCTTCTGTGATTAGTCTGCAGGGTTCATCAGGCAGTAATCCTGCCTTGTCTGGCACTCTCTTCACCCTATGGCACGTTAGTAATAAAGCAGTGGGATGTTCAAGATCAACAAATATTATTTACAAGTAAAATAACATTTTTGAACAGTTGGTTGTTTTGTTGGTTGTTTTGGGTTTTGTTTTTTTGTTTTGGTTTTTTTTTTTTCCCCTATTGGCTTCATATTTGAGTTTGGTAAGAATGTGTTTTCTCTGCTTTATCTCTGAAGACACTGTGGCTCGTTTCCTGTGATGAACATTGCTAATGATCCTCAATCTTGTTCATGCACTTGTTGGTAAAATTTTTGCCTCTTTTTTTTACTTATTATTCTGCAAAAACAGAGGAGATTAGAGAAGACACTCCCTCCGATTCACTACTTTGATTTATAATATAGCGTGTTTAAGACCCTTGTGCCAGGACCTTATGTCGTGGAATATTTTGAAGTCGGATTCTGATGAAGGAAGAGTTCAGGAAAACCCGGATTAAAGTCCTTTGAGCTTTTCGATGATGATGAAACTATAACTCAAAAAAATTGTCACCGGTCTTCAAGAAAAAAGGAAAAATAACCACCATGAGTATTTCTCCAATATCTTTGTGCCCTAGCAACAGCAGCAGTTCTTCTTTATTCTCCTCCCACACTGCTGTCTCTGATATGCAACCAGGAGTGATAGCATTTGCTTTGCTACTTTCCTCCTCCTCCACATGGCAAGTGCAGCTGCTGCCATCACCATCACATTAAATGACAACCCTTATGCTTTGCCTGCTAACTCATAGAAACAGTTCTACTTCGGTCAGAAAACTGTTAACAGAAAAATCCCAAATGTGGCCATTCTCCTGCAAAGTAAATTGGGACCTAAAGCTTTAAAAATACCGTGTTTTTCCATTTCAATTTTAATCAGGTGGGCTTTGAAGTTTGGCAAGAAAATTACACGCTGCAAACTTAGGTTTTCTTAGGGCAAAAAACCTTACAGATATTTCCTCATAATTTTAGCTTAATGTAACAAATTTCATTCTTTGCAACCACTGCACATTTTCAGAGACCTGATAGGTGTGCTCAGAGAGAAATGAGGGATGCTTATTGGAAATTACCGAATTAAAAAAGATACAGCCTTGCCAAGATAAAGAAAGTTATGGGCAGGTTTGTTTCTTTTTAAGTGCAGTTTGCAGTTTTTGCTGTTGAACATTTGCGTAAGCCTTTATGCTTTACACCACACTGTGTAAGAATTTTTAGTCTTTTACTCAGCCGTGCTTATCTTTCAAATCTTGGCCTCCCTCTTTCCGTTCCTTATAAATCGTGGTTCCTGGATTACATTTTTCTGTGGATTGCACAGTTGTTCTTCCCTAAGTTATAGCTTTACATTTAGAGACAGGACATTTTTGTAGTTCACACAAAAGCTACTCCCAACTGCTTGTCTTGATACAGCTGCACAACATGAATCGAATCTCTTTTCTCTCCTTCCCCTACTCAAAGCTTTGTAAAGACATTCAGAGAAGTGTGCAGCCAGCCGTTTGACTGAATTTGCAAACAGTTAGAAGAAGTTTCCTCCTGCTACAAAGAGGGCTGAATGTATCGCTTTCACGAATCATGTGGTGCTACTGAAGTGTTTCTTAAATTATAAGCCCAAGGAAATGCTCTGCTAACATGGAAAAAGGCAACGTGTGCAAGAAACAAATGTTAGTGGACCTAACTCGTGAAGTCAGATTGCTCCATCGATAACAATGTTTTCAAGGACTCTATGCAAGTTTTATATTAACTGAGGATCAAGCTCAGGAATGCAGTTCAAATTACCATCTTTCCAGTATTGCTGCTTGCAAAGAACCTGTGTGTTAGGACTGGAATGTTTCTTATAAATATATACTTTTATGTGCATACACAACACGAGGGACTGCTTGACTCTGCTGTCTTAAAACGAGGAAAGCACATTGTCTTCTGGGATCTGCCACTTCACTAGAAAAAAACACAATCCCACATCCATTGCCTTTCACCAGGAGGGATGTTCTCTTTACATATTTTACCCCAAACCTGCGAGGAGAGGGCAACTACAGGTTTCTGTTTAATAACCCAAACTACTCTTTCCATCCAAACATGCAGTTGTCTTAATCTGCTCCTCACATGTTATCTTTTAGTTGCTGGTTGGTATTAAACTGTCCACAAATGAATAATTCTAAAATGTATCTTTCTCGTAAATGAAAATTTTTTAACTGAAGTGGCAGCTATGCCACTTAAACTAGTTTGTGTCTTCTCTAGTGCTAATACTATCTCTTACCTTGCAGTTTTCAGCCTCTCTTTCCTGGATCTGATGAGCCGGGCCAAATTTCAAAAATCCATGACGTTATAGGCACTCCTGCTAACAAAACTCTCAACAAGTTCAAGCAGTAAGTATGCACTCCCATAGTTATTAATCTCGCTGTTTAAATATCCACAATATAACTGTGCAGCTGTGTGCAATTTCTGCTCAGGGAACCACCACAAAAATCTGATACTGTTGTGACGGCTGCTGACCAAAGAGCAGTGTCTTCTATGCCTACCCAGAGATAGTCACGCATTCGTGGTCCTTGTAGGCAGAGGAGAGGAAATCTGAGCCTACATCAATCTTATCTGGCCTTTTATTTCCATGGTATCTTTAAGGCCAATGACATAACTTGTTAGGAAAGAAAACGTTTTTTTCCAAGTATTACTTACTTGTCCCTAAGAAATGATTACCTAAATCAGATGAGAATAATTTTTTTCAGTAAATTGTAATTCTCTCTGAATGTGCATGAATAACTGTTCTCAACTTGCTTAACACAGGTCAAGAATTGGCGAGTTTTGATTTCCCGTTTAAAAAAGGAAAAGGAATCCCTCCTCTTGCGCGCAATTTGTCTCCCAAAGGCTTCTCTCTCCTGTGTGTGATGATAAAATATGATCCTGATGAGAGAATTGCTGCCCATCAAGCATTACAGTACCCTTATTTTTAAGAACTCCGGTAAGTGACTTCAAATCACTTCAGTCTTGAAGACTAAAATTAAAAAGTGGGGGGAGCGCTGTGTGCTTACTATTTAAAGTGGACTGGGATAAAGTTTGCTTACAGTGCTAGTACTTAGCTTGCAATACAATGAATGTAAGTCAGTCAACATAATTCTTTGCATTGAGTCCAAACTTCACCTAAAGCACAACTAATGTTTTTCTCTTTTTTTTTTTTTTTTCTTTTTTCCCCAAACTGTTTAGGGCAGCTGATACACAAGCTTTGGCCATGCACAAAAAATTAAGGTTACTAGGAAATACAGCAGGGCAAGTACCTCTGCATTTGTGGCAAATTTCAAAGGAAAGTCAAAGACAGGTAATACCTAAGCGGAGGAATTGTCAGCCCATTTAGAGAAAGTAATTTGCGACACTGAGCTTGTTAGCTAGAAACAAATGTTTTCCTTAAGCTGATTACTTGGTTTGATTCAGTCTGCCTAAACACTGATCTGTATTGGGTCTGATGCAGTTCCACCCCCTGCAAGCCCTGAAAATCATGAGTTAGAATTTAGAAGCTGTGATACCACATAATCCCGTCAGTAGACGGTTGTAGTAGTTGCTATTAATTAGAGGGACAGTTCCACATTTTCTTAAAATATCTCGATCCTCATCTTTTGCTCTCTGCCTTTGAGTTAAAAAGTTGTACAGATGAAGTTGTAGCAGAGTCAGAAAGTGTGCTTGTGCCTTTTCAGGCCTTCAGTCTACATTTTGAACAAATAATTTTTATTTTTTTAAAAACTTAATTATCCTGTATTTAGATGATATCTGGGAAAATCCTACACTTATATTTGACACTGGAAATAAAAAAAAATAAAATCTGATTAAAAATTCTGGCAAACTAAAACTTTGTTTATATTCAAGCTATGTGAAGAATACTCAACGTGTTCACTCTTAAGGGTTTGCTGTATCTGCAAGGTGAGATAGAAGTTAGTACTACATGAAAAACTCTTAAATACAGGTTTTTCTCAAAAAAACAAATTACAGTAGCAAAAATAATTAGAAATTATTTTCTGCTGTGCATTTAACCTTGAAAGCATGAACTCTCCTTCCATAGCAGCAGCCACTTTTTCCACCAATTTAGTTCTGGGGTTCATCATTGTGGGCTTTGTAAGAAGTTCCTTCAGGAGAAATTGCAAGAAACATCAAGAGAGGTAGTAATTTGTAAAAAAGAATTAGCTGAAGTACTGTTTGGCTGGTTTTTTTTTTCTGATTATTTGGATTTTCTCTTTTAATTTTATTCCTTAAGATGTTCTCAGAAAGAAATTGGATCTTGTTTATTTATTTTCAAAGCCTCTCTTAGGAAAGTCCAGGAAAAAACAAAACAACAACATGGATCTCCTCGTGGAGAATTACCAAAATTAAATCTTTCTGGAGCAGCCAAATTGACTTCCAGTCCTACTCCTACATCGCTTTCAGTTTTCCAAGCACCTAAGGAAAGTGGTGAAACCCCTGTGTTACAGTCTGTTAGATTATTGGATCAAGTATCGAGGTACAGACTCTAACTTGCCCGTTAAAGTGTAATAGCAAAATGCGTTTTACAGAGCGTATTTCAAACTTCCATTGTTTCCGCAACAGTCTGAGAAACAGAAGTCTTCCCCTTACCTGCTAAGGAACGAAGGGGAGGAGGTTACTGACCACCTTGTGAAGTATTTGGAGTGTGAGGAAAAGCATGACTGTGCCGTGAGAGCGAGCCAATCATGCTTCCGTTGTTAGAGACGTAACAAGAACAGCAGTGCCTTATTTTGTGTTTCTCTGATAATCTGTAGGAAAACCCCACAAGGTTACGAAGGGCTGCTTACCTACCGTTTTGGTATTCTCTTCCTGAAGGGTATCAGTATTTAATGAAGCATTGCTCTGGCAGAGCTTAGAGAGTGCTCTATTGAACCTCCTAAGTATTTGTTCCTTTTAGAACCTGATGGAGGAGGAGGTTAGCTAAAAATAGCATGAAAGGATTCTTTGAGCTTCAGTAGTAGGAATGGAATGTTATCGACAAAATACAAGTTTTCATATTATATTATAAATTACAGTTAACTTTTGCATCTTTTTTTTTAGTTTTCAGTCAAGTCTGGAAAGTATTCACCTCCTGCGTTCAGTAACTTCAACCTCAAGTTGTATTGAGAATGTGCAGATTACGCAATCATACGAGATACTTGATTTTGATGCAGTTTCTGTAACTACTGAATATTTTTATATAACTATAATCTAGCTAGAAGCGAAAGCAACTTTTTATCTGATTCAAAAGCAAATAAAATTTAGTCATAGTTTTCTTCAAGCCATTGATCTGCATATTAATCAGAAGTTTTTACAGTGACTGATATCGCAGCTAGTTGCTTAGAAGAGCAGTAAAGGCATATATCTTACCATGTTTCAGAAATTTTGCACACAGATCATCAGTAACAATATAATGTTACTGTTTCCTAGCGCTGTAAAAGGCAGCATTTTTATCTTACTAGGAAAGAGTAGTTATTGCAATTGGATACCATTGATTTCAAAACTCCCGAGATCTCCTAAAAATTTGCAGTAATTAATTTGCAATACTTAAATTTGGCAATATGTTACGAAACAGCTTTGCTATTTAAAAAACAAATGAGTTTGTGCAAGTCATACTTAGCTGGGGGTTTAAAAATCTTCTGCCTACCAAGTATGCATGCAAGACAGGTTTTGCAAATAACTTTTTTTGGTTTAATAGTTCTAAAAGTTATTCTGCTCATAACTGGGAAGTGATCAGCTTTTTTTCCAGTAACCAAACACCTCTGGGACTGCTGCTGCTGTTCCAAATTTTCTGTGCCACAAAAAAGCGAAACCCAAGCAATGAGAGGGCAGGCAAGGGGCATGTATTAGAAGTCACTGCTGTGCATGAGGCACTGCGAAAAAACGCACCGGGTAGCAGATCACGTTGAAGTCACTAAGCCAACCCTTAAGCACCAATCTGAGATTGATGCTCTAAATCCAGACAAACTATTTATTCTAATCAGTTAAGATGCAGCTCAAACAATGCAGTAAAATACACGTTAACGTAAAGATTTTATAAAAATACTAGTCATCTAGAAGAAAAGTTAGGCCCGTTATGCTCTCAGCTCTCCTTCTGAGATTTTATTAGGCTATGCGTTTGTGAAAATAACGACCCTTCTCACTCAATTAGAGGTTTTCCAGTAGGTGGCTGCTTTGTTGTGTTATTTTGGTTGGTTGGTTGTTTTTTTAAGAATCGGCGTCTCAACACTTGTAGGGTTCTCTCGTGACTGCCTTAGATCCTGTTCCTTGTTCTACCATTCAGCTTCTGGATAACTTTGAGCATGCCCAAATTCCACCTTGCAGCTTTCCAGTGTGGGGAAACTCACGAGACTCAAGTTCTTCATTAATCCTTTTGAGATCTACTGCTTAAAAGCACTTGTCTATCTTATGTTTCTCTTCATGTTTTGAGGAAGGTATTATTTTCACATACTGTACTGAGGATCAACATGACATTTACTAGCAGATTTTTAAAAATGTGAAAGTATTAGCAGACTAAATGTTTGTGGTGCGTACCGTGGGAGTCATTTTTTGGTATTGATTCAAGTTTGGCTATCCAAGTTGAATATCTTGCACCCACATCATGGCCTCCTGTATCTTTGCTCATTTCATCTCACTTCTTCATAGCAAACTTTTGGAATCTCAATAGCAAGAATGGAAAAACATCCCAGCCCTGGCAGGAATTCTTGTAAAATAAGGCTATGGCACATGAACGAGGCTCTGCAGGGAAACCTGTATTGCTGCTACTTGTCCTAGGTACGCCAGAGGA